GAGGAAAGCCTTTCAACCCTGTTCTAGGGGAGACCTACGAATGCGACCGGCCAGACAGAGGCTTTCGCTTCATTGCTGAGCAGGTAACCTTGAGTTCTGGAAGATGTTTCAGCTTAAACTAAGCAGCCAGCGCAATCAAACGGGCAAAAAATACTTAACTGACCTATACTCTGAATTAACAAGGCTGGAACCTTTCTGTTGCGTCTTCTTAAAAAGAAAAAGCAGGAAACCAGAAAATCTTCATGTAAGACATTTTAACTCAAGAATTTCTCCCAATAATTTCAGGTCAGCCATCACCCACCTATTTCAGCTTGTCACGCAGAGTCTAAAAACTTTGTCTTCAGGCAAGGTACTGGATCGTTTCATTCTTTTTGCTGCTGGTATTAACGTGGTAGCTTGTTCTGGTGGACCATTGTTCATCTGGATCAATGTGTTGTAGATGTGAGGTGTAAGAACAAGTTCTGGGGGAAGTCCATGGAGATTGTTCCTGTCTGCACCACTCATGTTACTGTGCCCAGGTAAGTTTATTAGGCCCGAGCAGTGAAGCTGCGAAGGCCTATTGTATCTGCTCCGTTTATTATTACGCTTTCTTTCTTTCTTTCTTTCTTTCTTTCTTTTTTCTTCCGCGTCTTTGAATGGCCTTTAGGGGGTCTTAGCATATCCAAAAAGTCACCAAATTCTGGCCCAATATAGAAAGTTCGTGAAATTTACGTATTTCACTGGCGATGTTAAAGTTCGTAAAAAAGTGGCTGAACAGCGCCCCCTAGAAAGTGAAAAATACCCCTCTCCATAAAGCTTAGTTTATCGTACAGTTATGAAATTTGGTACACTTGTAGTACTCAACAGTCCGCACAGAAAAGTCTCTTGCAACCATGGTCAATATCAAACAGGAAGTCAGCCATTTTGGGTTGAAATGGCAATTTTTAGCCATTTTGGCCATTTCTAGGGTCTATATTTGGTTGAACAGTTTGGTCATTTTTCGCACCATCGTCTCAAAAATAGTCTGAGATCGAACAGAAGCGATGGACGATTCAAATGAGACAATAAAATTGACTTTTCGTAAATACGGAAGGGGCGGGGCCAGGCCTCAAATTTCGAGCACTCGCCAAAAAAATTCACATTGCTATAATGTCATAAATGAAAGAATTACAGTTAAAGAAAAGTTCTATGGACAATCGTCATCACCCTCCGAAGACAAATGAATGGTCGATTGATGATGTCACGTAAGCCCCGCCCCCTCAGGACTTAAAAGGTCAAGTTTTACTGGGAAATTTTCCAAAATTCGCCCTTTCAAATAATCACCCCAAATTTGTAGCACGTAACTGAAGACAAGTTGGGGTTGCTTGGCATCACTTTATGGGAGTTTTATGCAGAAGGCGGGGCTGTGGCGGCGCGGCGAACTCAGGCGTACCGACGTGGCCTTACGTTTGCCTCCCATTTAGTCATTTCTAGAGATATCGCCAGGAAACTTCTTGTGAGTGATCCTAGTCCGGCTCCCAAAATAATCTGATGTGAAAATCCGGTGGGCGTGGCCTATTTTATGAAATAGCGCCCCCTAGGACCATTAAAACTGTCAGCCCCAAGCCATGCTTCGACTGAGAATTACGAAATTTGGTACACTAATGTGGTGTCTCAGGACCTACAAAAAAGTCTCTTGGAGCCAAGTTCAAAGTCGCACACGAAGTCAGCCATTTTGGTCCAAGTACTCGATTTAGTGGTTTTCGCACACGTTGTTTGGAGAGTGTTGCTCCATCTCCCTTTTCACCAATCGCCTTCAAACTTCTGCTATATACTCTTAAGACATAAAGGAAAAAATTCAACCGTCGGATTTTAAATAAGTATAAAGGTGTGGGCGTGGCTAAGCCTCAAACTTTGACCTGTTGCCACGCCACTCTTTTTTTCACAGCTCCCTATTGGACTCATTTTACCCAATCACCATCAATCACTGGCAAATAGCAGCAGACAAGTTGAGGTTACTTTGTCTATAGTACTGGCAGGTTTCGAATAAAGGCGGGGCTTTGGGAGCATGGCGAAATTCGCCATCACGCCATGGAAATTCGTTTGTCTCTCACTTCTACTATCATTGTGACATCGCCACAAAATTTCTGATGAGTGATCCTAGTCTGACCCCCAATAGAAATGGACAGCTGAAGTTTGTGGGCGTGGCCTATTTTCTGAAATAGCGCCCCCTAGGACCATTAAAACTGTCAGCCCCAAGCCATGCTTTGACTGAGGATCACGAAATTTGGTACACTAATGTGGTGTCTCAGGACCTACAAAAAAGTCTCTTGGAGCCAAGCGCAATTTCGCACAGGAGGTCAGCCATTTTGGTCCAAGTACTCTATTTAGTGGTTATCACACACTTTATTAGGAGAATGATGGCCCGTCGCCCTTTTCACCAATCGCCTTCAAACTTCTGCTATATACTCTTAAGAGAAAGGGGGAAAAATTCAACCGTCGGATTTTAAATAAGTATAAAGGTGTGGGCGTGGCTAAGCCTCAAACTTTGACCTTTCGCCATTACAGTACTTGACTTTACAACTCCCATGTGCATGATCAGATCTATATCAAACTGTGTCTGTGTGATCATTGACCACATCTCAAGACAATGACAATGTGGACAGCTGACATAACCTAAGCCCCGCCCCGTGACAACAGGAAGTCTATATTTTTATGGTGAAATGCCCATATTTGTCCCCTCTAATTTAGTCAACATGACACTAAGGTCATGCACTGTCTTCATGATGTTGTAATGACCATTCAGATCTGATAGCTTTTCAGAAAGGGAGGGGCTTTGATGCCATGGCGATTTCTAGCGTGATGCTGTGACCTTACGTTTGACTGTAACTTCCACAAACAGCCTCCGATTTGCCCGAGACTGAACATCACATCACCAGTGTGGTAAAGATAGAGTATCTCCTAGTGGTGAGACGTGTAATGGTGGGCTCAGAGGGGATGCTGGGTCCGGGTGAGGTGTGGACGAGGAGGCCGTTTACGGTTTCTGGTGTCAGGGTGGTTTACTTCCTGTTCTGCCAGACGTGCCCTGGTGCCCCCGGCTGCCGGCCAGGACGGAGAAGCGCGGAGCTGGGTTTGGAGAGCGTCAGGGATGGAGCGGAGGGGGTGCGGAAGGAGGACGAGCAGCTTCGCTGCGAGGGCCGAACGACGCTGCTTGCAGCTTTAATTCACTTTTATTATTACAAACACTGGACCACATCTCTCTCACCGTCTGCCGCAGTACATCTGAATGTTCTCTTCTGTTTCCACTTCACCCACTACAGCTTTCTTAAAGATTCACTGGAAACCTTTAATCCTACTTTTTGAAGCAATAAGTCAGATTCACAGATATTTGTAATGCACTAAGATAAAACAGACTTGCACATATCTAACAAATGTAAGTATTGGTAGCAGTCTTTTAAAAAGAAACAAGACAGGCAGCGGTTCCCGAACTTATTTAGCCGCGCACCCCCTTCTATGTCCCGACCACGTCGACGCACCCCCCAGCCCCCACATCAGGGCATGGCTATATTTATATATATATATATATACCTCTGATGCATGAATTATGAAATCTTCAACCATGATTTTTTACACATCTTTTTTCATTCATCATCAGGTGTGAATGAAACAAATTTCAACAAATATTTTTTGTAACATTTAATAATTTACAAATAATTTATTACATGTCCTTCTCAGTGGACAGCGTACATTCTGAACATGAAATATGTTGGCTTGCCTTACTGAAGTCCAAATGGAGGGGCTCAAATGCAATAAAGTCTTCAACAGCTGTGCTTAATAGCAAAAATAAATAATAATTTTGAGTACCTGTCCACTGTAGTGACCATTATGCATCAAAGCGATATATAAATATATATATATATATATATATACATATATATATCCCTGTCAGGGACTTGCACAAACCAGCCAGAAAAGCACTGCTCATGAGACTGAAAACTCCATTTTATTTTGGAGCAGCTTCAAAGTTAACAGGAACTTTAACCTAATCACAGCACAAGACACTCTATCCAGAAAAACAAAAGACATTTCAGACACACCAGGTTCAACTTAAATAGTGGCTGATCAGACCACTCTACATACAAGAGGGGAACAATTAACATACAATTAACACACACATCCTCACACACACAAACTAACCAATCTAATCAATTCAGGTAACTCAAATAACTAAATCATAATTACAAACTTCCTATCCATAACAGAAAACATCTACTTTAAGGCCTAGTCCACACGTCGCCGGGTTTTTTGAAAACGAATATCCGCCCCTCCAAAAACTTGCATCCACACCACCTCGTTTAAAAAGAAACTCTGTCCACACGTACCCGGATAAATACGTTGTTAAGGACATGCCAGACCTGTAGGCGGCAGTACTTCCCCCGTTCTTAACCTCGTCCTTCGTCTGTGGTCTTCCGCAAGGAGCAGTAATTCCGCTTGCAAAAACAAACAAGCAAAAAGCGCTTGGACAATTGATAAAGCGAGCGCAGCTCTGAGGGCATCCATGCTGTCGGCTAGTGTAAACACAGGTCGCACACGTGATGTCAGCATTTTTTTGTCACGGAAAGTGACGTTGCGGACCTTAAAACTCCGGTTTGGTCTGTCCACACGCAGACACCCAAAACGGAGAAAACATAGATCTTCACTTTGGCCGGAGTTTTTAAAAATATCCGTTTTCGTGTGAAAAAACTCAGTTTTCGTGTGGATGACGGGCCAAAACGTAGAAAAATGTCTACGTTTTGGCAGATCCCCGGCTACGTATGGACAAGGCCTGAATTAAACAGAAGCATAAGCATGAATCTCCCCTCCCTTGGGAGTAGGTAGATTCCAGTAGTGCTGATTAGGCTTCCTGAGGAGATGAGCTGCAGGTGTGAGACTCCATGGGCAACTCCAAGTCACTGGTAACTCAAATAGAAGTACAAAATCAACACATGCATTCATAAACAGAAGACTGTGTGCACATCAACCAGTCATCCTGGACAGAACACACATTACCAGAAGACCATGTCCCTGAGGTGACATACACTGCTGTCACAATCCCTTATATAAATCTATATAGATCTCAGATGTCAAGCTAAACAGTCAGGGGTTAAAACAGACAGGGTTAAAAAAAAAGATCACTCTCGAATTTCATACGTCATCCCAAAATAGAAGCTAATATCTTAATTTGACCTTGAATGAAAAATGTTGTTATAAAACCTCTTAAAAGTTTTTTATCACGGAGGAGGCAGCGCTCATTTCTGCCTTCAGTCTGACGGCGCCGCGCTGGAGTTTGCGCAGCGTGCGTTTGTTGAATTTCTGTGTGTGTGTGTGTGTGTGTGTGTGTGTGTGTGTGTGTGTGTGTGTGTGCCGCTCCAGTCACCGCATCTCATTATTGGCGCTATTTAAACCAATGTTGTAAAACGACTTCTGCCCAGCCCAGATGTGCTCACTTGTGCACCCGTGAGCCGTGGTTCCGCTGGAACGCGTCTGACCTCTGACAGACGCACTCTGAACTTCAGATCTTCAGCTCGCTGTTAATAGCCTGACACGTTTAGTCAGTGTGCTAATATAATAAT